AGCCTGGGGACTCAGAAAAGACAAGACCTCAAGCATGTGATAGAGAAAGCAGTAAGCCTTCCTATACACCAATAAGAAACACGAAAAAGTCAGGGAAAGAAATGCATTCATGATAGTCTCAAAAAAATCTAACAGAGGCATGAAAGACTTCTATGAAATTTTATAGAAATTATTAAACTTCTGAAAAATTTCAAACACCAACAGAAAAAAATTGAAGAAGACACCACAAGGCAGAAAGGCCTCCCATGCTCATGGAATGGCCATCCCACCAAAAGCAGTCTACAGACTCAAGGCAAATCCTATCAAAATGTCATCTTAATTCTTCACAGAAATTCTGGCGGGTGTGGGTGGGCGGGGAATCTTAAAATTCATTAGAAAGCACAAAAGATCTCAGCCAAAGGAATACTGAGAAAACAGTATTGCTGGAGGTATCACCATACCTAATGTCAAGTTATACAGTAGGATCATAGTGACAGAAACAGCATGGTATTGACACAGACACATAGATTAATGAAATAGAGTTGAGGATCCAGATGCAAGGCCATCCAACTACAGCCATCTAATTTTTGATAAAGATGGCAAAAAAAATACACATTGGAGAAAAGACAGTATCTTCAACAAATGGTACTGGGAAACTAAATGTCTACATGTAGAAAGTTGAAGCTAGATCCACAACTCTTACCCTGCACAAAACTCAACTCCATATGGATCATGGGCCTCAATAGAAGACCTGAAACTCTGCAACTTCTGGTGTTAAAAATAAGAAGTGCACTTCAAAATACAGTCATAGGTAAGGACTTTCTGAATAGGACTCTGACCTCTCTGAAAATAAGGCCAATAATAGACAAATAGGATCTCATGAGATTGAGAAGCTTTTGTACAGCAAGGAAACAGTCAATCAAGTGATGAGGCAACCTATAGAAAGAAGAAAACAAAACTCTGCTGACTATATATCCAACAGAATTTTACTATCTAGAATATGCACTGAACAAGAGAAACTATAAACATCAGCCAAACAAATAACCCAATCAAAATGGCCATGGAAGGGCTGGGGAGATGGCTTACCAGTTAAGAGCACTCCAGGTTAGATTCCCAGCACCCACATAATGGGGAAGATCCATCCAACAGCTCCAGTTCCAAGGGATCTAACAGGCTCACACATGGTGCACATAGTCAAATGCATACAAAATATTTATACACTTAAAAGTAAAAAAAAAAAAAAATTGGATACATCTAAAAAAGAATGGGCACAAAATTGAAGTATAAATGGCTAATAAATATTTTTAAAGTGTTTAATATCATTAGCCACTATGGAATTGCAAATTAAAACTACTTTGAGATTCTACCTCATCATATCAAATGGCATCATCAAGAAAACAAATGATGGCCGGGCGTTGGTGGCACACACCTTTAGTCCCAGCACTAGGCGGGAGGCAGAGGCAGGTGGATCTCTGTAATTTCGAGACCAGCCTGGTCGACAAGGTGAGTTCCAGGACAGCCTCCAAAGCCACAGAGAAACCCTGTCTCGAAAACCAAAGAAAAAGAAAACAAACAAATTATGTTGGTGAGGCTGTAGAGAAAAAGAACACATATCCATTACTGGTGGTAGTATAAATTGGTGAAAAAACGTAGAAAACAGTGACCAGCGTATATGCTTCTCAAAAGTTGAAAACATAACTAGTACATAATCCAGCTACACCACTCTTGGGCATACACCCAAAGGACTCTCTATTCACAAGAGCTAGGAAATGGACTCAACCTAGATGACTATCAACTGATGAATGGCTAATGAAACTGTGAAATGCATACACAAGGGAATTTTATTTAGCTTTAAAGAAAAATGAAATTTGCAGAAAAATGGACCGAACTGGAAAATAATATATAAAGTAAGACAGCCCATGCCTGGGGGGTGGGGTACTCCATAGGCTGACCTCATATGTGGTTCCTAGCTTCAAAGCGACCATGAAAGGCAGGAAGGGAAGGGCCTTGATCTGGGAAGGAAACAGAATACATGTAATATTAAAGTGGAAGGAATGGCAGGTTTAAGTTTAAGCAGCAATGAGGACAGAGACAAGACTAACCAAAACTAAGGATGTGCGGAAAAGCTTTATGGAAACCTACTACTTTGTAAGCTAGCAATAAAAATATAATTAAAAGAAAGAACTTTCAAGAAAAGTATTCTGTATGAATGGGCAATGCTACATGGGACAAAAATCTCATTGACAGCCACGGGATACCAACCCCTCTTACTTACTGGCCAGGGAGGACTCAGTGGCCCCCAAAATGCCACAAGCTATCCCAAATGCTCTTGATTTGTGGTGACTGCTCCTTTAATTGTCAAATTGACACAGCCTAGGATCACCTTTCGGAAAGAGTCTCAATGAAGGACTGCCTACATCAGGCTGCCTTGTGAGTATGCCTGTGAGGGTAAGGTGGGCAGACCTACCCTGAACACCAGCAGCACCATTTCATTGGTGGGGCCCTGGGCTGTTTCGGAGCATGGAGAGCTAGCTGAGCAATAAGCATAAACCCTCTCATTTCTCTCTGCTCGCCTGTGGATGTGATGTGACTAGCTGCTTCAAGCTCCTGCCAGTGTGGATTCCTTGAAGTGATGGACTCTGACCTGGGACTGTGAGCTTAAAACAAACCTCTTCTCCCATAAGTTGCTTTTTGCCAGGGCATTTTATCACAACAGAAAGGAAATTAGGACAGCTGCCCATCATAACTAGATGATAAGACTCTATTGCTAGAAACACCACACACTTTGGTTGAAGGACATAGACAAATAAATCTGGAACTGATCAGAAAAATTCTTCCTTGATAGCTAGTTTTCATAGTGCCAGAAGGCTCTTGGGCTATTGAAGGTAAAAAAGTTGTAATCTGTAACATGGGTGCTGGGAATCAAACCCAGGTCCCCTGCAAGAACAGCAGTGTTCTTAACAACTGACCCACTTTTCTAGCCCCTCTGCCTTGTTTTTAATCAACACAGTAACTGTACCTACTTGTAGGGTACAGTGGGATACCCTGGCATGTGTCCACAGTGGGTAACTGTCAGATCATATCCCTAGGCACCCATCAGTTCTCAGTAGGTGAGAACTTTCTTCCAGATGCTCTGAAATATGCCCATTGCTCACTCTAATTCCTCTAATAAATAGAATACCAGAGCGCACTGCTTGTCTGACTTTAATTCTGTACCCACTTCCCTGCCCATCTCTCTTACACCCTACCTCTAGTAATTAATATTCTATTCTTTGCTTCTATGAAATGAGCTTTTCTGGCTTCCACAAGAGTGAAGTCTTTTGGCATGAATGGATAAAGAAATTGTATCTGCTGCCAGGTGTAGGGCAACACTCAACACAGAGGCAAGAAAAGCTCAGTGAGAATCCAGCTAGGGATACACAGTGAAACCTAGTCTCAAAAAGCCAAGGGCTAAGGATGAATCTCTGGGAAGTGCTTGCCTAATGCATACAAGTCTTAGCACTAACAGAAACACACACCGTAAACTATAGATACACATCAATACTCAGTGGTAAAAAGAATGAAGTCTCATCATTTACAACAACATGGATAAATCCGGAGGACACGTTGCTTTATGAAATGAGCCAGTCACAGAAAGACAAGCGCTGGATGCTCAAGGTCCCACAGGAGCACTGAGTGGAAGGAGAGGGAGAGCAGATGGAGGAAGGATGGATGATGGGAACTGAAGTACAGGTAGGCAGGAGGAGAACACCCAGTGCTCCAGGCATGTCAGGGAGACTACAGTGCCCAGCCATTCAGTATGTTCATAAACACGTGAAGGGAGAACACAGAGCCTCCGACATGCAGAAGCGACAAACTGCTCGAGGTGGAAAAGGTGCCTGCCTGATCTGATCACTGCACAATGCAGAAAGACATCTCCATGTATTAGTGACCTTGTAACCACTAAATAAATACATGGTGGGGGCCAGGTGATATGACACATACTGATAATCCTAGCATTTGGAAGGCTGAGGCAGGAGGAATGCTGTAAGTCTGAGGCCAGCTTTGATTAGAGTGAGAACCTGTCTCAAAAACAAAACAAAACACAACCCACAGGACCACCCCCCCAATGCACAAATAAACAAGCCCATGAGTGAGTCCTAGTGGCCCTTCATAAAGGGGCTTGTGGAAGGAGCTCCTAGCAGTAAAGTGAGAGCCTACACTGAAAACACACAAGATTAAGCAAAGGAAAAATAGCAAGACAACTTGGGCCACCTCTGAAACAGGCACCTAGCCACATTTCTGAATAGCCCGGGTCAGAACATTGGGGAACTGGCACTGTTTCTGTTTCAGGGAGAAACTGAGGCATTGTGCTGGGGATGGGCTGCACTTGTGACTTCAGTCAGTCACCACACATGGCAAGAAAAGGTTGTCTGCCAGGGCAAGGTCAGTAGAATGACTGGTCTTGGTCATCAGCTTTCTAGATTAGAGATGTCTAGGAGTGGTAAGACATGCCTGTATGTCTGGGAGAGGGGGTGTGCTTCCAGAGGGACAGTGACTAGGGAAAGGGGCTGCCCTGACTGTGGGCAGCCTAAATGAGTGGTGGAGGAAGCAGTGTGTGCCCAGTATGCAGGCCTTCTCTCTCAGAGAGTGCGAGGCTGCCACTATCCTCCGCTGACACCAGCCTCCATTATCTTTGACCTTTTAATTCAGAACCAATACCAGTGACTCCAGGAGCTTCCAGGCCTTCAGCACTGGGGCTGCTGAGGGGTCCAGATTCTTGGCCTGTGAAGTTACAATGTTCTCTGTCTCTCCAGTGCGCATATGGCTATTGCTGGACCCAGCCCCTATGATGTAAACAATCCAATAAACACTCTTTTATAATATACACATGTATGCTACTTGTTTTGTTTTGTTTTTGTTTTTTTTTTTTTGTTTTTCTTCTACAGAACTCTAATAACCACGATAAGGTGGAAGGGGCTACTACAGCAGCTTAAGGGGAACCAATGACGGCAGCAAGTAAATGGCAGAGTTAGACCAAGTATTCATACCTCCCTTAGAATGATTGACAGTCTTTACTGTTCAGCAAAAACAGGGAAAAGGTGACAATATGATGTGATTTGTGCAAGGTAACCTGGGTCATGGCCCCCCCAATGGCAGCACAAAGCTGGGGTCTCAGTGAGGACAGGAAGCATGGCTATGCTGTGGTGGCCATCCTTACTTGAACTGGACTTGGCCCACATGCAAAGGGCACCCAGAAAACACATCACATTCATGTGGCTCCTCTTGGTGGCCCATCCTAGGAAGGCACAGTTCCCAGGCAGGGTCTTATAGTCCACAGCACCAAGAATGGCTTCCCAGGTTCCAGTGCAAAGGACACAGGGCTAACGACAGCAGAATCAGGAGAGCCATGCCAGGGTGGCTGTTCTGAAGCTGGCCCCACTACATCAGCTTTCTCATACGCCGATTATGCTTGTCCACAGTCAGGGTTGCCTGGTCCACTGCTACGGTGATGCCATCCAGAGCCTCATCCTGGCGCTCAAGCTCTGCCTCAGTGTCCAGTGCCAGTCCCTTCAGCTTGCTCAGGATCTGGGAGAAGCCAAATAACAAGCATTAACTGCTTCCATCCTTATCACAATAACAAAAGCCTGATGTAACCAAAGGGATACAGTTTTCTGAGTTAGGAGGACACAGCCTACAGAGTTGGTGCCTGGACTTGGTCTCAGCACTAGGCTTGATCCTGTGGTCCCAGGATGCAGCTGCCCACCACCAGGAAGTGTACATGACCATCCCCAGAAGGTGTTGAGTGAAACCATTGTGGATTGGGCTAACAGAATCACTAGGTTACATGGCTCATGCTGTTAGACAGATATTGGAATGAACCTTGAGCTTAGTACAGCAGTGTGTTTGCCATGCTGCAGCAGCTGTGCACATCTGTGCTCACAACTCTCATACCAGCAAGGGATCCAAGTATTCAGACCTGTGTAAGTCACTAGATGTTGGTGATGTTGAAGTCCCCTCACAAGGCTCCTCTTAAAATGCATCCTCATCATTAAGTGACAAATGCCTATAATTTAATAGGCTATATGACACAAGGCTGCTTCAAAAACCCAAGGCTAGCCATACTTACCTCAGGCGGTGGTGCATGGCACACCGAGGGTCTGAGAACAAGTATGTGTATTCACAGGTCACTAAAGAAAGTAACAGACCACTGTAGGCAAGACAGGTTGGGGAGGCCCATCTCTCCTTAGCTTCCCACACTCACATCTGTGATGCACGTCATACTTTCAGGCAGTTTTATTGCAGTTCTGAGCTTTTCATACTAACTACATTCTCATGAAGCTGGGTTAAGCAGCTAATATTTCCAAGCTGACAGCAAAAGGGAAAACATACTAAAAGAAAACAGCGCCCACCACTTGTGACGACTGTGAACACCTTCTTCCTGGGAAAGCTTCATCACAGTGGGCCAAGGATGAGGAACTGAGGAACAAACCTGAGTCAGCAGGATATCCTGGTCACAATCACTGTCTCCCACAGCTGCTTATGGCAGGGATGGGCTGAGTGGGGACTTCAGAGGCCCCCAAAGCCTATCTAATGACTCTATTATATCCTAAGACCTTCCCTGACCCGTACCTGATGACGCACATCTAAGTGTCCTATGAGGGTCTGGCAGAGCTACCATACACCCACACACCTCAGGTGGCCCAAACTGTTCTATCAGCACCTAGCTTGTGCCCCAGGTCATACACTTTGTTCTGGTTTACGAAGGCATGCTTGCTCATAGGCTGGCATTTCCACCAGCTTGGGGACCTGGCCAAGAGTTGTGCATTTAACTAGCAACACACATGACAAGCAGGGGGAGACAGGATAGTAAGGCCTAAGTTCTTTCCCAACAGCTAGAGTCACATAAGCTGTCCACACGATAAAATGCAAACTACAAAGGCCTGTGCTGGGGACACCTATGGGCCTTAGGAGCTCCTCTAAACATAGGCTACTCCAAAGCATGCAGAGAGATAGCAACAAAAGTGAGACATCCCATGTCTCCCCATGAACACTGCCATCACAAGTCAGAGCATGCTGCCTGCAGTTCTAGATATGTTCTCCCAGAAGCTGGCTAGAGCTCTGGAAAACATACAGTGGGGCCAGTGAGCCCTGGAGATGGGCAATGACATCATACAGTAGGTCTTTTCCATCTCCTATACTTGTGACCTCACATAGTGGACACCAGACCACAAAGTAAAACAAGGAAATGAGTCCCCTAACACCCTGTCCCACCCCTCTCCCTGGTCAATACTCCTCTCTCACCTGCCTTGGTGCCACCTACTTGCCTGTCACTTATGTCATCTGACAAGACTTCCCAGCTTCCCACAGTCAGGCCATGCTTCTCTATAGGCTCTTGGCTTGTGCACACATGGGTCCCATAAAAGCATCGTGTCTTTCCAGAGGGTGTAAATATGCTGTGATGTGCTGATAATGCAATTCTCAGCCAGCACCCTTGTCCTGAAGGTACATGTGCCATGGTCTGAAAGAAATGGTTTAGACTATGACTTCATTGCAAGTAGGAGCCCAGTCCCGCCAGAACTCTGGGTGCCACAGCTCCCAAGCAGGCTTGTGTGGGTCTGCAGCCCCTCGGCCACTGGCTCACTTAGTAGATACAGTTGTTTGTCTTGTTTGTGTCGAAGAAGAATGGTGCTTGTGGGGAAGAAGAGAACTGAAGAGGAAAATGAAAGCTGTCTGTGGCTCATATCATTATCTATCACATTAGCCTGACAAGTTGGCATCCCTTCCTCCCAAATCCCAAATCTGAGATTCTCTGAGCTGAGCTCACGGGACAGGCCACATCAAAATGCAGGCACACTAATCATGCATGGAGGGACACATCCGCAATCCTATCTCAAAACTGCAAAAATAAAACAAAACCTCCAATATGCAGGTACACTCTAACTACTGTCTGAGATCATCTTTAAGTATGTGACAAAGGTGTACACCAACAAGTGAATTTCATGTTTAGACTGGGTCCCAGCCTAAGGCTATATGATGTCTGAAAAATACTTCAAAGTCCTAAATAATCCAAAACCAGTATGGTCCTGAGTGCTTCAGCAAAGGGATGTTCAGCCCATGTGAGCTGGATTTTACTACTACATCCACATGCTTGCATGAAAACTAAAAATACATGACTGAAGTACACTTCCAGTTTTGCTTCCTGTCATTGGCTTTTTCACTCTCTGGTTATCCTAAACGCTGGATCCAGACTGAGCCAGCTTACAAGAGACATAACCACTAGCTTGATATTAACTGTCACAGGGGGATGACTCAGTCACAGCACCAAGGCACTGTGAGAAATCACATGTCCCTGAAAACAAAGCATGGATCTCATCTGGGCCTGGGGGAGGCACTGTCCCATCATGGATGCTGAGCTTCAGAACCTAG